AAAGTTACCATTCTATGTTCCTGTCACTACTATAAAGGAGATACTATTTTCAATTACAGTGTAAGTTCTTTGCTACTATTCTCTGTGTTTAAGCAGTTAATTCTTTACTTTTCTACACGAGCAACTCACTAACTTGATCGTCAAAAAAACAACTAGAGAACCAGACTCCGCCCTCTTACGATTCATTACTTCTGTAGGAAAGGACAGCTTTCTCAAGAACCAGACATTTTGGAGGGTTAGAGGACTTCCTTCAACTTAATCAATCCCTTATTTGATTGTGAGATTTCATACATCAACAGTTTGGCGCCCACCGTGTGGCCTTCTTTCTTCTCCGAGCAATCATGTTTGACTCTCAGCATGTGCCTGATCAGTTCATCCTTGGAGAGCTACGGCCAAATTATGTCACACAAGCTCAGCTTGAAGAATCCACCCAGCGGATCACTCAAGCCTTCTAGCAGCAGTTTGCTGCTTTCACTACCGAACTCCTCCATTAGATGACTCCTCCCCAGCCTGCTCACTCCGCTGCTCCTCAACCATCAGGGGGTCAGTCTTTGACGACTCATCCTCTGATAGGAGCTCAACTAAAGGCTCATCCGCCTCTGCATGCTGCCTATACTAGACAGTAGAGAAGCCTCTTCGAGCACACGTCTCTTCATCCACGCAAGCTGAGCCGCCCTCACCAGCGCTACCCTCCATACACGGAGATGACTGGGGAAAGTCCTAACCTCGATCGTGACGAAAGGGAGCACGCCACCTGTAAGGACCGTAAAATTTTGATATTAATTAAAATAATTATCTAGTATTTTAAAATATTTAAATATGATTTTTAAAAAGAGTATTTGTATTTTTCTTGATTTTCTAGATTTTTTTTCTATGATTTAATGTCCAAGTTTCATATTTATTTAAATGATATTAATATTATAAATTTATTTTGTGCGGTAAGAATTCCTGAAATTAATCTATTGTATTATCGGTACTATTACGTATTATTTTAAATAATACGTTATATTATTGTTACTATTACGTATTATTTCGTGTATTATGTTGAATTATTGATTACGTATTATTTGTGTAAATTATTGTCTTACTTTAATTACTGCGTATCAACTGTCGTATTAGCACAACTGGTACGTTTTATTGTATAGGTAATTGTCCTATAATTATTTGGTTTTAAATGTAAGTAAATATATTTTTATTATTAATTATTCTAGTTTAATTGTACAATATGTGTATATTTCAACTATTTCATATAAACTGTTGTATTAGCACAACAGGTACGTTTTTATTTGTAGAAAATTATTTTGTAATTAGTTTAATTTTTTAGTAATTAATTATTTTAATTATTTTATTGATTTAAATCTCAAACCCTACCCTATATAAATACCCAGTATACAACACCTCCCATCCTCGGTTTTCACGCCCACATTTTCCTCTCTCTCTCTCTCTCTCTCTCTCTCTCTCTCTCTCTCACATTCTCCTCACCTGTCACCATCATCCCATCTTCCTCTTCATCTCTCTTACGTTCTTCTCTCTCTCTTCTTATACTCTCTTCAGCGCTCAAAACCCCCGCCGAATAGCCCCGTACTCCCGTGCAACTCAAACCACCGGCCCGCTCTCACGCGCTCCCGACAACGCCACGCCGAACGCCCACCTCGTCGAGGACCCGGCTAAAAGCATTCATCGCAACCGCCGCTGTCCCTACCCGGTGCCTAGGCACCGCCCAACTGACCGCCGCCGTTGCTCACCGGAACCCCTGGTTCCGTTCCGCCAGCGGCCCGCCCAGCCTTCGAACCCCGCCTGAACCGCGCTCTGCAACGTCCGCTCCCCTCTCCGTCGCACGCTCACATCCCCCCCTCACAATCTCGACCAGCCCGCGCCTGCTACGCTAAGGCAAATCTTGATAGCACACTGCCAGCCCAGCCTCCAGGCCGGCTATTTCCCTCCTCCGCACCTTGAGCTTGCCGCCTCCGACGGAGCCCTTAGCCCCATTGTTCGGCGGCCCTGCTCCTCCTATCGCGACAACCGCCCTAGCCACCGTCACCAGCTCGACAGACCCCCTGGAGCCGCTCTCTTGTGCCCTGTTTCGCCCGCGGCCGCGCCGCTTGCCGGAGAGCCCACACAGACGGAGTAAACGACTCCGATACGACCTCCTCGTGAGCTCCCCGATAGTGCCGCTCACATCAGATCCCGCTACACGTCGCTGAACAGCCCTCGTCAGAGCTCTTCCCGAGTTCGCCGCTGCACTCCTCCGTGTCAGATCCGACCGTATCGTCGACGTCGATCTGTTTGATGCGCCGAGGCAAGATCTCGAGTTTACCTTTGTTTCTTAATTAATGGTTAATACTGTATTATTTGGATGATTGGATGTAGATAAATTATTTTGTGATTAATATTATGATTAGTATGATTATTATATGTAGTTAAATTATTTATTGTGGTTAATATGTAATTTTGAATATCTGCGTGGAATGATGATTGTGAGCGCACGATGAAAATTAGTTTAATAATGTGATTAATTGCGGGCATGAAATTTCAAGTTATATGTTAAAATTAGAATTTATGAAAATTTTATCAAAAGAAATTAATTAAGGGAAATTTATAAAATAGAAAAAGATTACTTTCATGCAGAAAGGAATTAATATATTTTTATTATATAAATATTTTTATTTAAATTAGTTTTTATGAAAAATAGTTTTAAAGAATAATTTTGGAAAAAGAGTATTATCATTTATGATAGTATGACTGATCATCGTAGAGCACGACATTTCATGTGCAAAACGACATCGGTTTCTAGTTTCCTTTCTACCGTATTATTATCTTAGAAAATACGTAAGTACGAAGATTTTGCATGAGGACTTTGGATATTCTACTAGTGATAAAGTCCTTTATGTATGTATTCATGTTATAGTATTTTGTTTATGCATTTCATGTTTATTATAGTTCTCATTTCTGCTACATAAACCCGCGTAATCATGTTTAACATGCTATACTATATTCATGATTTGTTGATGTGCTGAGAACCTTAGTAGTTCATTACTTAGTGGCCTCGTGCGTCATGAACAGACTTAGTGACATGTGTAAGTGTGTTGACTAAGTTTAGGTGGTGAACCAGAGTTCCAATGAGGATTATAGTTGATTTAGAAAATAAGAAGAATTGGGATGAGGAAGACATGGTTCATGTGATCGGATAAAACTGTTGATGTATCTTCCAGACTCGCACCAGTGAACCGTTTCACACTGGGGTTAGTTTATTGGGCCAAGTGAACCGTTTCGTACTTGGTTAGTGAAATCGTTTCGTCACCCGGGTTTTGCTTGAGTTCGAACCATGCCGAAATCGGATTGCGTGTGGTCCTCTCACCGAACCGTTTCGCGGGTTTGGATGCACGTAGGGGATTTGTGAACAGTTAGTTATCCTATGATATGAGCGATGACTCTGTGAGAGATATGGACCATTGAGATTTAGGATGGTTAGTATTCGACCCAGTTATTGTATGGCTTTATGTTATCATGTTTACTATAGGATTCCATCTTGATTTACTAGATTTCCAGTTGCATATGTCATTGCCTTTCCATTAGTATTATTACTGTCATAGCATGGGTCATTCGACCGTTTCATTTTCCATGTGAGATTTTGCCGTGTGCTATGCACGCTGACGTACACCTGTTTTTTCTGGTGTGCATCAGACTTAGGAGACGAACAGGTTCGGTTCGATGATGTAGCCGAGCCAGTGTATGCCCAGCCGGAATGTCATTCCGATGAAGTGGAAGAACAAACTGAAGCCTAGACGTGTTTTTCTTTTCTATAGTAGCTGATAAACAGTAGAACTCTTTATAGTATTGTCCTTAGTTTGATGATGGATTTAGTTATTTTATAAGTATTTTTCTTTTATCATAGACTATGTGTTTTTATTCCTAGTTGGACTGTTTTTGTAATAAGGGTATGTTTGACCCATATTTTTATGTCTGGGATGATTTACTATGGATGATGTGTTTATTTCTTATTCTGGATTATCTTTATATTCTTGCTATTGTGATCGGGGACCTGTGATTGAGATTTATGTATTTGACGCTTAGCGTATTAGATTGAGAAGAAAAGAAATAGAAAAAAATAGTGTATATTTCTTCTTAATCTAATACGTCGTGGACTTGTTCACATTCCGATTCCCGGGTATTTTGGGAAGCGGGGCGTGACAGGTTTTAGTGGTGGCCCATGCAGGTCCCGGTCCCGAGTTCTCACTAGTAAGAATGTATTGGACAATTCAAATACATATCATTTTCCATCCGTAAGACTACAATTAAGTTCTTATACTATTATCTTAATAACTATGTTTTAGTTCCTATTTTCCAAATATATTGTTTGATTTTAACCTTAGTTTTCCTTTTGATCCTCGTTTTCTTTAGAACCATGGTGGGTACTCGTAGTAATGTTAACCCATCCAGTAGCAGTGGTCAGATGCCTGAAGCAGATTTGCAATAGCTTTTAGCGATGATTTAGGGGCTGGTGACGAACCAGCAGTTCTTAGTAGGGCATTTACAGCAGGAGCCTCAGCACCAGCATCCCCCTCGCTCGGAGCCTGGTGTTAGAGAGTTCCGATATATATGGCCTCCTTCTTTCTCCGGTGCCGAAGGACCTCTAGCAGCAGAAGAATTCCTGAAGGTTACCGAGACTATCCTTACGGTGACCCGCATTGCCCCAGCAGAGTGGGTGGACCTTATGGACGTCCAGTTCACAGATACAACTAGAATCTGGTGGGTTGCTAAGAAAACACACCTAGAGAGGCCGATTCTGTGGGAGACGTTCACGGATCGCTTTAGTAGGAAGTGTTTTCCTCAGTCAGCTCGGGATGAGCTCCTGCGTAGATTTGTTGAGCTTAAGCTGGGGGGTCGATCAGTCGACAAGTATGAGGCCGTGTTTTTTTCTTTGAGCCGATATGCTCCTCACTTGGTTACAGACCCTACGATTAGGAGGCATTAGTTCCAGAAGGGTCTGGATAAGTACATTAGGATGGCTCTGGTAGGTAGGGCTTTGGCGACCCATGATGCAGTGCTAGATGCGGCACACGAGATTGAGAGCGTGCATAAGGAACCTGAAGACTCACACATGATTCAGAGCAGGACCCTAGCAGCTCCGTCCCTAAATGTCGAGCGTCCCCCTCCGAGGCAGCAGCAGCAGGCTCCGCAGAGGCAGCAACATTCTCAGCGTCAGCCACCTCCTCATGCTCATCATTATCAGCATTCTGGAGTGCAGTCTCC